TTTTTTGGTCGCTACTTTGGTCGCTAATTGAGGGTCGACAAAAGTAATTCGCCACCAAAATTTTGGTTGGTCGGGAAAAGTTGGATTTGCCGACTAAATTTTTGGTCGCTAAATATTTAATTACTGCTACTAATCGATTTTGTCGCTAAAACACTTTGGTCGCGAAAAGTGATATTTTCCCGACCAAATTTCTTAGTCGCCAATTGTCATATTTCGCGACCAAAAAGTTTGGTCGCCAAAAGTCAAAGAATCGCCGACTAATAATTTAGTCGCCAAATCTCTTTTTTTTTTCTTTTTTTTTTTAAATAATCAGTTTTTGATTATAAAACTTCAATCCAATATTAAACAGAACTGATACTAATGAGTCTCTTGATCTGATACTGAGTTTGAGTTGCTTGATCAGGCGTTTTATATTACGTTTTATTAGCAGTTCCTTTATAAATTGGGGTTTTCTTGATGGGTGCTAATGGCTGCTGGTATATTGAATTCACATAACTTAGTTTCAGCATTCCAAGCTTTCCTTTTGCATCTCTGGGTCGCGTTGTGAACTGGCATTTCTTAAGTTCTATTACTAATTTTTATAAAAGAAATGGATAAAGAGAAACCAGTAATACCTAGTTCAGAGGAGGCAAAATAAGTTCTAATAGAACTCAAGATCAATTGTTTTCTCTTGATTATGTGCTGATTTGGGTATTACTCGTTTTGTGAAATGAAAAGGTTTTTAAATATGTCCCACCCGAACCAACCTTTACGAGTAGTGAAGAACTATAGAGAACTTTTTATTATTATTGACCAACGAAAAGCATAGGAGAAGGATAAGATTTCATTTCTTCACAAGCGAAGAAAGAGAGACTAGACAGAAAGAAATAAGGATCTTCGACCAGACCAATCTACTATAAGAGGTGAAAGCACTTCGTTGCTACTGGCTTTCAATTACCTGATCTGGATATCACCTGTACTGATCTGGATATTGAAACCAGAGCTCAATATCGCCCTTAAACGGGTTCGTTGCGAGCCAATAAATCTCCAGAATCCTCGAAACTCCAGCGAAATCGGAAACTGATTTCTTCATCTTCTTGTTCTGCTTCTTCAACTCTCGAGCCACAGCCTTCTTGCGGAGTAGCTGGAGAGCTTCAAGCTGCTTGTCGTAGTCTATGTAGGCTATGAAGTCTTGCTTGAGAGGGCTCGGACGCTTGCGCCTGTACTCGAACTTCCTTCTCTGCTTCACAATCTCTGCAATCTCGCATCGCGAGAAGAGTCCTCGTCGCTCGAGGTCGTCGAGCTCATCCACCATGTGCTCGAGCTTGTACTGAACCACGTCCGCCATTTTTACACACACACACACATACACACACAGAATGGGAGGACCTGTAAGTAAGAAGGATGGAGAGTTGAAGAGCTAAAAGCCCATTTTTGGTCGGCAAAAGTTATCCGCGACCAATTTTTTTGGTCGCTACTTTGGTCGCTAATTGAGGGTCGACAAAAGTAATTCGCCACCAAAATTTTGGTTGGTCGGGAAAAGTTGGATTTGCCGACTAAATTTTTGGTCGCTAAATATTTAATTACCGCGACTAATCCATTTTGTCGCTAAAACACTTTGGTCGCAAAAAGTGATATTTTCCCGACCAAATTTCTTAGTCGCCAATTGTCACATTTTGCGACTAAAAAGTTTGGTCGCCAAAAGTCAAAGAATCGCCGACTAACAATTTAGTCGCCAAATCTTTTTTTTTTCTTTTTTTTTAAACAATCAGTTTTTTATTATAAAACTTCAATCCAATATTAAGCAGAACTGATACTGATGAGTCTCTTGATCTGATACTGAGTTTGAGTTGCTTGATCAGGCGTTTTATATTGCGTTTTATTAGCAGTTCCTTTATAAATTGGGGTTTTCTTGATGGGTGCTAATTTGTGTATGCCTGCTGATGTATTGAATTCACATAACTTAGTTTCAGCATTCCAAGCTTTCCTTTTGCATCTCTGGGTCGCGTTGTGAACTGGCATTTCTTAAGTTCTATTACTAATTTTTATAAAAGAAATGGATAAAGAGAAACCAGTAATACCTAGTTCAGAGGAGGCAAAATAAGTTCTAATAGAACTTAAGATCAATTGTTTTCTCTTGATCATGTGCTGATTTGGGTATTACTCGTTTTGTGAAATGAAAAGGTTTTTAAATATGTCCCACCCGAACCAACCTTTACGAGTAGTGAAGAACTATAGTGAACTTTTTATTATTATTGACCAACGGAAAGCATGGGAGAAGGATAAGATTTCACTTCTTCACAAGCGAAGAAAGAGAGACTAGACAGAAAGAAATAAGGATCTTCGACCATACCGATCTACTACAAGAGGTGAAAGCACTTCGTTGCTACTGGCTTTCAATTACCTGATCTGAATATCACCTGTACTGATCTGGATACTGAAACCAGAGCTCAATATCGCCCTTAAACCGGTTCGTTGCGAGCCGATAAATCTCCAGAATCCTCGAAACTCCAGCGAAATCGGAAACTGATTTCTTCATCTTCTTGTTCTGCTTCTTCAACTCCCGAGCCACAGCCTTCTTGCGGAGTAGCCGGAGAGCTTCAAGCTGCTTGTCGTAGTCTATGTAGGCTATGAAGTCTTGCTTGAGAGGGCTCGGACGCTTGCACCTGTACTCGAACTTCCTTCTCTGCTTCACAATCTCTACAATCTCGCATCGCGAGAAGAGTCCTCGTCGCTCAAGGTTGTCGAGCTCGTCCACCATGCGCTCGAGCTTGTATTGAACCACGTCCGCCATTGTTACACACAGAGAGAGAGAGAGAGAGAGAGAGAGAGAAGAAGAAGAGTGGTAGGGCTAGTGATATTGGATTTAGAGGTTATGTATCTGATAGGGCCAACAAAAAAAAAATTATAAACAAAAAAACCATTCACCTAAAGGAAGTGGAGTCCCGCGCCCTCTTTCTTGTTTCAAAATTTATGTTTTAGCGGAAATTTTCAAAATTTAAGTGGAGTCCCGCGCTTTGCCTAGTTGAAAAGCACAAATACAGATTTTATTTTATTTTTAAACAAGAAAAATATTTTTTATTGATGTTCTTTATTTTTAAATACAGATTAGTCTTTGTTCTATTGACGTTCTTTACAGATTAGTCTTTATTTTTTATTGATGTTCTATTTTATACCAAAAGACCATATTAGTCGCAGAAAAGGTACCTTCGCAGACAAACTTTTTTAGTCGCCAAATCTCAATCAACGGCGACTAAAATATTAGTCGCTAAAGGTACTAATTTGGCGACTAATTTTTTTTGGTTGCTGAAAATAAGTTTTTGGCGACCAAATTTTTGGTCGCCAAAAAATATGTGACCTTCCGCGACCAAATTTGTAGTTGGTTGGCAAAAGTGTACCACTTTCTGCGACAAACTCATTTTTTGGTCGCCAAAAATAATGATCATTCGCGACTAATTAATATTTGGTCGCCAAATGTCATTTTTTTGCGACCAAAATTTTTTTGGTCGGTAAAAGTGGTCTTCAATTGTGTAAATTCTTGTAGTGGGACCCACTACATGTCCTGTTTCGATAATCTGAACTGTTTATTGTATAGAGCTTGTTAAGTACTTTATCTTTATCAAAAATCGCGTTGATCGAATATCGACAGTTACTTGATCGAATCAAATTTTTGTCAACAATTTATTTTGAAAATTATATTTATCGTTGACAAAAATCTGATCCGATCAAGTAACTATCAATATCCGATTAATGTGATTTTTTATAAGGATAAAATACTTGACGAGTTGTACACATGAACAGTTCAGATCATCGAAACGAGGTCCATGGTGGACTCCCACGGGCCCAATAGCACGCTCCAGTCCAATCACAGGCTAGAAAGAAGCCTAGCCCTATATAATATAATTAGATATAATAAAGGAATACTAAAAGTCTGTGATTTTGTTAAATATTAATAAATAATAATCCTAAAAATTTTACTATTTGTATATATGAAAACAAGATAAATTTATTAGTATGTTAAAGATCTAAATAATTCTTAATTTTTTTAATTAATTAAAATGTGATTGGATATTCGTAAGTATCGAGTATGTTAATAGTTGAGTGAGTAATATGTAATCAGTCATTTTCTTATAATTAATTATATTAAAATATGTAAGGTCATATATAAATAGAATAAAACGATATTACAAATCTGTCATAAACTATGAAGCACATGTACGGGTACGAGTACTGGTACTGGTACAATACGGGTACGTCGATACGGTAAAATTCAAAAAAAATAGGGTACGAGTATGGGTTGGTACGCTTGTAAAAAAATATTTATTTTTAATTTAGAGTAATGCAAAAATTAATTAAATGGTTTAATTTGTTAAGGTCCAACTTATAATTAACATTTAATTCCAAAAGGAAAAGTATAAATCAAAATTAAATGTCAATATATTAAACCACTTACAAACCATAGTTTAATTTTAAAATCATACTAAGCATAAAACAAAAATTAAAAAAAAATCTAGTGAAATAAGTTTTATCTCTGTAATAGAAGGAAAATATTGTTTCAACTGAGGTACGGTACGGTACGGCTTGAATATATACTAGATACGTTTGAGTACGTCAAAAATTAAGAAGAAAAAACTTAAGTGCGTATTTCGTGTATCCGATATGTATATAAAAATACTATACAAAGTACGATACACTGATAAATATCCGATACGATACGAGTACAACATATTTTTCAAAATAGCCATGCCTTATAAGTCATGAAGCTGCTGCATGGTCATACTAACCAAAAGATGAGCAAACACGGAAACAAGATCATATGGCTGGCGAAGAACCGGAAGGCCGTGTGGTCCAGTAATTACAAGCAGAGTCGTATTCTCCTAATAAGATGGAGAGCACCGTTCCCGAGAAGGCACGTGTCCACTTTCTAATTTTCACAAGTCAAACATAAAAAAAAACATATGTTGCGTGACAGTTACTCCACACACACCTCGCGCCTCTTATATATACAAACTTGCCCCCCTCTTTCTCTCTCTCTCTCTCTCTCTCTCTCTCGCATCACTGCAAAAGAAAAAACTGTCATTTCCATATTCCTCTCCCTCTCTCTCAAGAGAAAGAGAAAACTAGGGTTTGCAATGAGTGGGTATAGATTTTACCAGAGAGCCTCTAGAACCTTTCATGACTATCCTTCACTCTCTAAACTCGCTCTTCTCTGCACTGTCAGGTCTTGAATCTTCTAGTTTTTTTTCGATCTATACTACTATATATGTTGTATTGTATATATCCTCACATTTTTTTCCCTCTTGCTTTATAGATCTGTTGTGGCATTAATGTATCCATTTTTTAAAAAAAAAATTACACACTATTTTATTATTGATTGTTTGAATTATGTATGAATAGAAGTTTTAATCCAACATTTACCTTTGTTATTGAAACAAAAATGATGAAGAATAAAAACTAGCATGACATGGATAATGGCATGTAGATGTGGTTTGGGAACTTGGCTATTTTAGTTGGTTTTTTGGGATTTTGATTATTTTAGCTTGATTAAAAAAATTGTGTTTGGGAAGATACTTGACTTTTTTCATTTTTTTTTTTAGTAGTTGATTTGATGATTGTGAGAAAAAAATAAAATGATTATGATTTGGATGTCCTATTTTTTTTTATTAACTATTTTAGCTTATTTTATTTTTATTAACTATTTTAATTCAAATTAAACTTCCTGAAAGAATCCAATCGTTTTATTGGTTTTTGGGTTTTGTGGAATTGATCAGGCTTTTATGTACCGATTTCGCAACAAGATATCCATACCATCTATTGCATTTAGTTTTACAGCTGTGCAATGTGAGTGTTTTTTTTTCCTGTTGAATTGCAATTTGATTTAGCTTCCCTGTGAAAATCCAAACATGCCTTTAAAAATTATGACAAAAATGAAATTCAGGTTGTGTTACTTTAGCCATTGGCACCCAGCTGGTTTAGATCCCAAAACATGTTTGGTTTGTTTTTGGGAAAAATTTTTGAGAAAAATTCTCTACAAACAAATTTTCAAGAGTAATCAAATCAAACAAATTTTTTCAAAAAAAATCTTAAAATTTTGTTTGGTTTGCTTCTTTTCAAAATCATTCTCTCTCTCATGCACATCAAATCAATCACTTTTTTTAAAACTCTCTCTCCAAAACAATTTCCCAAAACCATTTTTGAAAAAATGCAAACCAAACAAGTTTTCGTACTTTTTATCTCAAAAACTACTCTACAAACACAAACCAAACAAGCCCGTTGTCTTCTTATGGGGAAAATGCTAAAAGTTGGTGGTGAAACTTCCTATTCTTTTAGGTTGTATTTTGATTATAGATTTAGGGCGTAAAATGTATGTGGAATGTAACTATATTTTATTCATATTTCATCTATTTTTTCCTTCCAAATTTTTATTCAAATTTATGAACCAAACATAGCCTTAGGGAAAAGAAGTTGTTATTCAATCCTCGGTTTTTTTTTTTTTTTTCATTCTCCATCTTTTCATTTTTCTATTTAGTTGCTTTTAGGGTCAATGAATTTATCTTCAAGGCATGAATGATCCTGGACAAGGATACTTTAGAAATTTGAGATGTCAAGAATGGCGTCAAACATCCAGTTACTGGTTTTGTTTATTTGAGACAATTTCAATAGTTTCAACTACGTTTCTACTCATGCATTGTTTCCAGTCTAGCAATTTGAAATTAAAGAAGGTAAAATTTGAAAAGGGCCATGCTACTCAAGTCGACCCAACTTTACAAATAAATTCTTGAAATTGTCTATTTATTGAAGTCTTGACATGTTGCAGGTAAATTCAAATGATTTTAAAACAGATTTCAAGAATTTCAGTCATGTGACTGGTTTCTGTGGGAGACATCAGTCGGTCTACTCTGTTCGCATTTTTCATGTTGAAAACTGTCATCAGTGACAGAGGAATGTAGTATTGCAATTCTAACCAATGCATAGCCTAGTGGGATACTGAAACAATTTGATATTCTTGTTTCACTTCGTATAGTAGTTGGAGTTCATTATAGCTGCCATGTTCAATAATGATGTCATTCATGGTATCCCTATGTTTGTAAATGGTTTTCTTCAATGCTGTGTTCTAGATTATAAATTGTGGAACCTCTTTTCTCCTGTTCTTGGCATTGTATTGTTCTACAACTGACTTTCTCCATCTTGATATACTGCGACTGCAATAGACCTGTTTCTTTGTCCTCCATGTAACGATATTTTCATATTATCTTTGAAACTTCTGAACTCCTTTTATTCTGGACTGTACAGTGGTGGAGGTCTATTGACTCTTTCTGATGCCAGACCATTCCATGGTGCTTATGCTGATGCCATTCATACCGATCAAAAGAAAAAGAGGGTGGTAGTACTTGGAACTGGCTGGGCTGGCACAAGTTTTCTGAAAAATCTGAAAGATTCTTCGTATGAAGTTCAGGTGGTGTCACCTCGTAATTATTTCGCATTTACTCCTTTGTTACCAAGTGTTACAAACGGCACAGTGGAAGCACGCAGTGTTGTCGAACCAATTCGCAGCATTGTTAGGAAGGTACAGTGCATATTAGACTACATACTCTTTCCTGAACCATTAATCTTTGCATGAGCAGAATTTTCCTCAATTTCAGTGTGCAAAATTGACGTCGAAGTGTTTCATATTGGACTAATGTATGCTAAATTCTGAATTATTCAAATAAGATTGCTGAGAATATTTTTCTATGTCTAGAAATCCATGAAGGGAAACAGAAAACTTACTGAGGAAAGCTTTCCTGGAAATCAGAATTGATGACATTATGATCTTTTGTTTACATTTGTACCTTTGGCTGGCAATTCTCCGAACATAGGATTTCCAAACAGAGATTGCCCTTAAAATTTTGAACATTTTTTTATTTTTTATTTTTTTTTATAAAAAATATGAAGTTTGATCTTGTGATGTTTCATTAGGATTTCACCATTAGGAAACCAGCAAAGGACCTGAATGTGTCTTGGACACTCCTTGCACAGATACGAGTCTATTTCCTGCTTTCGGAGTCAGCTGCCATCCAACCCATTACACTCCTATGATACACAAAAGACGATCCCCGAGAAATAAGATAATTGTGAACTTAATGTTCAGTGCAACATTTTTCCATGACAAGGGTTGCATCATAATCATCCCCTTGCAACTTTCCTTGCTACCCCATGAAGCCTTTGAGGTTTCAAGTCATATCTAGTGACATATAAAGGGAAAAATCAAAAACCTGAAATTTATTATCTATTTGGGTACTTACGGGCAACAAGGGATGCCAGTAGCCGTTGTTGCTTCCCAAAAGCCATGTCACTAGTAGACTCTATAATGGTGAGTCTATAAACTTTTGGTTGTCAGTTGTGTTTCCTCACTATCTCAGAGGTGGGATGTTTTGTTTTGGTAACTATCATTTACATGTAAAGCATTTTCAGCTTGCTAAGTTTTTTATTTTGATTTTTTAACAACAGTCAGTATGTGTTAATCTGCTAGTTTATTTATGTACTGTGTGGTTTCTATGATACCGAACTCTCAGGTGGTCATTTTCTACCATAACATTGCCATCTGAAGATATTAAAAATATCTGATTCTTGTATTTCTTGCGGCAGAAACCATTTGACGTTCAACTTAGGGAAGCTGAATGTCTCAAGATCGATGCAGTGAACAAAAAAGTCTATTGTCGATCCACTCAAGATACCAATTTGGGTGGGGAAGTAGAATTTACAGTGGATTATGACTATTTGGTGATAGCCATGGGAGCCCGTTCTAACACATTCAACACTCCTGGTGTTGAGGAGAATTGCCATTTCTTGAAGGTACGTTGACTGAGCTACTGAGTACTCATCAACTGCTTGATGAAAATAGGGGCGAAGATAAACCCTTGTTTTATTACTTCTTGAGGTCCTTAAATAGTTTTCACTCAGTAGTTCGTTAAAATCTAATCTGCTATATGTAGCTCACTGTAAGGAAAATGAAATTCTTCATGCAGGAAGTAGAAGATGCTCAGAGAATCCGCAGGACAATAATTGATTGCTTTGAAAGGGCAACCCTTCCAACTATAAGTGAAGAAGAAAGAAAGAGAATTCTACATTTTGTAGTTGTTGGCGGTGGTCCAACAGGAGTGGAATTTGCAGCTGAGCTTCATGATTTTGTCATTGATGATTTGGCAAAGTTATATCCTACCGTTAAAGATCATGTCAAAATAACACTTCTTGAGGCTGCAGATCATATATTGAACATGTAAGGAAGATCGTGGTAATTCAAGAATCTAGTCTTTCTAAATATATAATTTTCCAATTTAGAATGATAATTTATTTATTTATTTATTTTTTTTTTTGAAGTTGTTCAACCATGTTGGACACTGGTTTTATAGGCACACACTATTTATGTACTGCTAGTGGTTCTGGTGTTCTCAGTTTATAGAATGAGAGAAGGTCGTGTGCCACATACATCAGCATGCTCATAAACAATGTTGGATTTACAATGTTAAGTATTTGTATGTCGCCCTACAATCATTCTATATTTTTCATGAATAAATGTATAAAAAACAACACACAATTAGTACACATTAACGTGTGCTTGGGAGGGGAAAGATTGGTTACATACCTAACCTTAGGCATAGTGCACAAAGCAGTTGCCCCATGACTTGAATCCATAATCTCAAGGTTATTAAGTCAAGATATTACTATTGAACCAATGATCACCCCTCATGAATAAATGTGTAGTGTAACTAATTGATCGATTATGTTTTAGCAGTCTCCTGATGCTAGGCTATGTTATGATATCTTGAAATTATTTTACAAATCATCTTCATCTATGAGATGCATAAAAAATTGGGATATCCTATCAGGGATTTGTACAGTAGATATCTTCCTCTAGCATCTATATAGGTCTGAATTTCGGAGACTGTGAAGGTGTTTGATCTAGTAATCAAGAATCATAGTATAGAATTGTCACTTGAGATTATAGAGAATCCATGTGACCTAAATCTGAAGAGAAGTTTTCTTCTTAAGAAGGAAAATCCTGGCCTGATCATAGCCCTACGGACAAGCTAGTCTATGGTGGCTATATCTCTCTAAGAAGGCAAGGCCTTCCTTAAAAACCGAAAAAATCAAGAGCTTTTTCAATAGTTAAGAAAATGGGACACCTAGAAATGGAAAGCATTTTATGAACGCATTTGTTTGGCAAATATGAGTCAGCTAACAAGGATGGTAGTTGTAGGCTTGCAATATGTCCACAATGTAATGGGAACTCTTTACAGAATCCCCTAAATAAAAGAAAGAATCACCGTAGAATAGAAGATAGTGAAAGAAGCACAACTTTAGTATCTTTTTCATCAAGTCATCCAATTCTTTGGCTCTCATTTAAAATTTAGTTTTGAAGCTTACTACAAAATGAAAGGGTAGTTTCTTGGAAGGTAATTTGGTGTCAGGAATTCAATTTTCAATTGCCTTGACTATGCAGGTTTGACAAAAGAATTACTGCTTTTGCTGAAGAAAAGTTCCAAAGAGATGGCATTGATTTGAAAACAGGGTCGATGGTTGTAAAAGTAACTGACAAGGCAATCTCTACTAAAGAAAGAGCAACTGGTGAAAACCGATCTATACCATATGGAATGATTGTCTGGTCAACTGGTATTGGGACTCGCCCAGTCATTATGGATTTTATGAAGCAAATTGGTCAGGTAGGTTTGTTCCTCTGAACCTCTGCCATTCTCTCTTCATTCCTTCTTGATTTTACTCTCTTCTTTCTTTCTTATTAAATAGCATTTAAGCTAGTGTGCTAGACAAGTTCTCACTTTCCAAACATCTTGGGATTTCCTTTTGAATTCGTCATTAATATCAGAAAACTTCTTTTCCTTTAAGCGCAGACTAATAGGCGTGTTTTAGCAACTGATGAATGGCTGAGGGTGGAAGGACATGATGGCATATATGCACTGGGTGATTGTGCCACAATAAATCAACGGAAAATCATGGTATAAATCCTCTGGCTTCTTTGTAAAACTCTTGTTTGAGCATTGCACATTGGATTTTATTACATGTTGTATGTTTAGCCATGATGCGCCTTTCCTGGTTTGTTGCAGTTTCTCTTTCTAATTTGATGCAAAGCTCTTTCACCAAAACTTTTTCTGATCTTTTATTTTATATCTTTTGTATGTTTACAAACGACTATAGATCATATATAAATCTGTTGACATCCTATTTCGCAATGATGTTTTATTTTCAAAATATTTATTAGATTGGTACTTCATTCATTTCAGAACAGGCAATACAGTCACTCTTTTCCTATGAAATTATGGAGTTCATGCTGAATTTTTGTAATGGGGAGTATATATATTTTGTTCTAACTTTGGTACTATTCAGAGAAGTCATATGAATAGTGTTTTGACGAAGTTAAAAACCGAAACATACTAAGTCCTGAACTTTTGCTTTGCTATCAGGAAGACATTATGGCCATATTTAGTAAGGCAGATAAGAATCAATCTGGTACCCTTACTTTGGCAGATTTTAACGATGTCATTAAGGACATTTGCGAAAGATATCCTCAAGTGGAGATTTATTTGAAGAAGAAGCAGTTGAAAAATTTTGTTGATATACTGAAGAATTACCAAGGAAATGACCAAAAGGAAATCATTGATATTGAATTGTTCAAAGCAGCTCTTTCTGAAGTGGATGCACAAATGAAAAGCCTTCCAGCAACAGCACAGGTGAACTGACATTAATTCATCAGTGCTGATATAATTATACAACCTCATGCTCCCCATTTTCATCATCTAATATTTTAGGTAGCTGCTCAACAAGGAGCTTACCTCGCCAACTGTTTCAATCACATGGAAGAGTGTGAAAAAAATCCTGAAGGTCCACTAAGGTTCAGGGGATCTGGACACCACAGGTTTCGCCCATTCAGGTATGAATTTTTGCTTACGTTGAAAATGTTTGCTTAAAAGTTAAAACTGCAAGAGTGTTGTGATGAGAATGCTTAACAACTATGATTTCTACAGCCTACAGAGGTAGAAATGCTTAGCAGTATGTCGTATGTGGAAGATGATAACATTTTAGGGGAAAAAATAGAGTTTGATTGCATTGTCTCTAAATAAAAATAAGAAGAGAAGAAAAGAAAAGGGCAATTGAGCTTCTCTAAATCAAATAATTTAAAATGTCATTTTTAAATAAGAGATCTGAAAACCTATACCAAAAGTTTGGATTAATTAATTCCATTTACATACATTTTACAAATTGCTTCTAATGTAATTGCATTATTTTGTATCCCACGATGCCTGGTTGGTCTGTAGTTTAGGTTCCAAATCTTATTATTTTAGATTGACTTGGCAATCAAAAGTAGCGCTGGGGTAATGACAACTGAAGACAAATGTCCAGGCTAACATGCCTTTAATTTGCATGCAAATTTGCAATATTGCACCTGAACTTCTTGTGGTCTGTCTGATCTAAGGTACAAGCATTTAGGACAATTTGCTCCGCTGGGTGGAGAACAAACGGCAGCTCAACTTCCTGGGGATTGGGTCTCAATTGGTCAAAGCACACAGTGGCTTTGGTATTCAGTGTATGCAAGGTAAAATAAATAAATAAAATCACAGATATGTCTAGTGTGGATGAATTGCTGCAAGTTTTATTGTTTCAGTAGACTTAAATACTTTTCCGAACATTTTGTAACCGTGACTATATTTCTCTTGACAATCCAGCAAACAAGTCAGCTGGCGCACAAGGGTGCTGGTGGTATCTGACTGGGGAAGACGGTTTATTTTTGGAAGAGACTCGAGTCGAATCTGAGGCCACAGCTGACACATAATCTACCCAAAATTGCTCCTACCAGCAAGCCTTCCTGTTATAGGCATATAGTAAAGCAAATTTTTTTCCTTCAAATATTTTCAGCAATTGTTTTCTACCTTAATAACATTTAATTTTGGATTTTAGATTTTAGAATTACAGTGACATTTTTCTGGTGTTACTTTTCTTGGTTATGTTTGTCATTCAACAATGTCCATTTAGGTATGCCACATGAGTCCTGGTCTCAAGGCCATATTGAACAGCCTTTTGAAAAATTTGTAACGGAAGAATGCAAAGTTCCAAACTTCCAAGTTTATAGATCAATGACTACTATAAGTTTTAGTCAGCGTTCTTCCATATTATTGGGATATACTGATATAATGCCAAGAGCTTCAAAATTGCTTGAGATGCTATTATTTTGTCTCCAGTGTTTCAAATAAGTTGCCGAGGCTCTCTTTTAACATGAATTTAGTAATGTGAAATATGAGAGAATTGGACCTCAGAATGCACTTGAGGTGGGACAATCAAATATGATTTAACACTAAAGACAGCCTATTGCTTAACTTTTAACATCAGGTTAGATTTATTAGATTGAGAACTCATCAAAATCCTTCATCAAATTCAAATTTGATGTAAATTTAAAAAGAAGAGGCATTGGAGATGATTTTTTTTCATCAAATTTTGATGAAAAATGAAATTTGGGATGAGAAAGTAATTTTTTAAAAGATTTGGATGAAAATTTGGTGAAAGAAGGGAGCAGTAAATATCAAATCAAGCTTTTTCCTTGAATTTGAAATAAAATTAAAATTTTAATGAATGATTGGAGATGGTCTAACAGGAGGACAAAAGCAAATGAAAGTATGGCAGTTACTAATATTAGCAAGCTCTTCTTTTGGAGAATAATTATCAATGGCATCATCTTCCCGGCTTCGAAGTATCTCTGGTATGGTAGGTCAAAAGACTGCAATCAATCACATGGCTTAATAAACAAAACTGGAACTTTAGACAGCAAAAACAAGATGCCTTGTTGTCACATGATCGAATATATCATCTCATCAAAGTAGATTGAGAAAAAAAATGATTTACCAAAGATTGAAAAACTAAGCTCAACACATTGTCATTATAACAAAACAAACCAAATATAGAATCAAGAGAACAGCTTATCCCATTATTGCATTACAAGGGTGAAAAAACTAGGCACTTACTTTTTATCAATATAAAGCACAAGAATGCTTTAACCCCCTGCTTTCCATTTATTTTTCTTCAACATCTTCTTCCACAAAACTCAAGGCCTGACAAACTGGTGCCTCCTCATCCTCATCATCATTGCGGAAGTAGGATTTTCTTCCAATTAACTGTGCCATTCTTTTAGCCGGTCCCGAGTCCCGTGGACTGTCATTCTGGTACCTGACAGCCCTGATCCTCGGAAGCATTTCAGGAATTTTGGCAGCCGGTACTGGAGTCTCCTCATCATCATCATCCTTCAAACCTCTGTGAATCACTACCTCACCGGGAATTTCCCACTGCTTCTTCACTCGAGTCTCAGTATGATCTTGATTCTGGGTTTTTTCTTCTAAAATAGACTCACTCGACGACGAAGAACGCTTCTTGTCACACCTCTTACCGTCCTCCTTATCATTCTCCGGTAAAGACCTCTTTCTCATTGCTGAATTCCCAGTAGCACTCTGATTATATCGGCTAGCAACGATTCGTCCCGGTTTCAATGGCTTCTTGGCAGGGACTGACTTCTCTCCATCTTTGAACAGTTTCTTTGGGTGAATTGTTGAAAGAACCCCATCTTCTTTCTTCACTGCCTTCTTCGATCCCGCTGTCGTCGCTGCTTGCCTTGAAAATTGGGTCTTTGGGATCATCTTCCTCGACTTCGGACTAACACTCGAGCTCTTTCCCCTTTCTTTTGTCACTTTCTCTTCATCAATGTCTTGTAGCTTCCAAAAGCACGATTTTCTTCGATTCTGTATCGGCTGAACAGGGGTCATGATTTCTTGCTTACCACCCAATTGCTTCGACTTGGCCATGGAAAAAATCTCCGATGGACCCAAACTCACACCCCTTCGTGCTCCGGAAACTATCTCCGATGGACCCAAACTCAAACCCCTTCTCTGCAATTTTGTTCTAGCACTCATCGACGATGGTTCTTCGATCTTTTTCACTTTCTCTGCATTCTTAACACTCAGTTTCGGCTCCATGAACTTTGCTGGTACTACTCTTCTTCGCCTTTCGAGCAATTTCAGTTTCTGCTCTGCCTTTTCAAGCCGAAGCGCCTCTAATTTCGATGATAATCGAGTGATTTCCATTTGAATCTCCTCAATCTCTGCGTCGATCTTCTTTTCGTCGCGAAGAACCTTATTCTTGAAAGCTGTCTTCTCAATGAGACTGTGATTGAGAAGGGTGGTTGGTGGATTTTCTTGTGAGTTTCCGATAATGCCATTTGGGTGAAGTGGCTTGATTGGTGCTGGAGTCTTGAGAGAAACATGGGATTTTTCGGTCACAGGACTCTGATTTTCTTTACTTGAAAGAGAATCAAAAGACTCGGATTGATTCACAAGAATGGGTTTTAGAGGAGACCAAGAAGATCTTATGATTGCGATATCTTCGGAATCGCCATTGTCGAATGCGGCATTGTTCCATACCTGAAGATCTGATGCGTTCATGGCTTCTGGGTATTGAAGAACACTCATCTCCAGTGATGTGTGAAAATTTTTTAGAGAGAGAGATGGTGATTTGTAAGTGGATTCTTGGAGCGTTCTTGAGAGAGAGAGAGAGAGAGAGAGAGAGAGGGAAGGTTAGAAAGATGGCTTAATTGGGGAAATTTGGGTATTTTGAGTTTTTCGACCGTTGAGAAAAGGAGACGTTAGGTGTCCGCTCCATCCTGGCCGTTCGATGCTAAACGGCTCCTACTGACGCTCCGATTTGATATAAAGACTTTAATTGGTGTTGCTGACCAATATTTGCCTTCTCACTCACTTTCATTATCCGAATTAAAAAATTGTGTTCACAAATATGAGCTTTATTTGATTAAGTTTTCAGAATTTATTTTACAATTTTTTTTAAAAAAAGTAGTAATTAATTTAATACAAATAAATACTAGATATTTTTATATTTTAAAAAAATATTTTCATTTAAAAAAAAAGAAGAAGAGAAAATCAACATTGAACTAGTTGTTGAATTTTTTTTTGGTCAGAAAGTAAAATTTGAAAACTCAACTAAAATTTATTTTTTTGGGCCATGTTAAATACACTCAGCTTTTCTTGTTTTTTTTAACATTCTTTTTTGTTGAGGGATTTGGAAAAGAAAAGAGAAAAAATATGTAAAATTATGTGAAATATAGGTATATTTTATGAGTAATGGTAGGGACCCCAAATGTTTTACTAAATATTTTACCTAATGTCTCACATAGGTGTGAGACCCACATAATGTGAGACATTTGGTAGAACATTTGATAAAACATTTGAGATCCTTGCATTTTTTATATTTCATTCATATTTCACTTATTTTTTTCCTTTTTCTTTTCAAATCTCCCACCAAAAACAACATAAAGGTGTGCTATGTTTAATTACTGATATTGTATAATTGTTAATCATTTTTTTTTTCTAGTTTAGCAAATGTAATTTACACTGTCTTATTTTATTTTCCTTTAGTAAATTTAAAAAAAAAATTTGAACTAAAAAAAAAAAAAACCAATATCAAGAGAGGAAAAACATGGGAATCCGAATCCTCTGCCGCGTTCTCCTGCGGCCGTTCCTGCAGTGCCCCAAAACGACGTCGTTTTGGGGCAAGTTTTCAAAAAAAAAAATTTCAGGCAAGAACAGAACCAGAACCAGAGAAAAGAGAGGGGAAGAAGAAAGAAGAGAAGGCAGAGGAAGAAAGAAGGCAAGAAGTGATAACCTAGTTTTTACTTGAGATTCACACTCTGGAGGAAATCGAAAAGCTTCCGGCTGTGGTGGATCTGAACGCCACCGCCACCGCCACCGCCACGGCCTCCGTTGAATCGACCATCGCCTCCTTCGTCCATGGCGGCATCTCTCATCTCTACCCTACTCTGATTTGACCTAGATTTATATATATATAGAAGATGAGAGAGAGAGAGAGAGTTAAAAATTGAGTTTATAAGAAATCATTGAGGAATCAAAGCAGAGATGATCTAATCTAATAAATGACTGTTTCAATCATTTTCTTTTTCTCTCTTTTTCTTTTTTTTTTTTGGTTTGTAAAGTCTATAATATAATAAGTGGTTGTGATTCTGACGAAAAGTAAGGAAAGTGCCATCCAACTATTTTAGTATGAAATATCAAGTTGTTTGTATTGAATAGACATGCCGGCGGCAAAGAAAAGAGGAGAAAATATCGAGATAGTTGCTGGCCATGGAGAGAGAGAGAGAGAGAAAGAAGGGGGCTCGTGGCTATGGGGGTGGCGATGGTGGGTTACAGCAGCGATGAAGGGGAGATGGTGGCGCCGTGGGTGAAAGGATGGGATGCTTTCTCTTCTTTCTTCTTCCCCTCTTTTTTCTCTGGTTCTGGTTCTGTTCTTGCCTGAATTTTTTTTTTTTTTTTTTGAAAACTTGCCCCAAAACGACGTCGTTTTGGGGCACTGCAGGAACAGCCGCAGGAGAACGCGGTAGAGGATCCAGATTCAAACATGGAAGCTTCTATATGTACACCACAATCATTTTCAGTTCATAGCACTCACATACGGAAAATTATGATGATAGCTCATGTATTTTGGTCATGGTATCATTTTAGTTTTTACCATTTTAATTGGTTCGATTTTAATTATAAATTTATGATTTTATTTTAATTTAGTCTAATTGATTACAATTCTTAAAAAAAAAAGTACATAAGTGACATGTGTCATATTTTTAAGGACAAAATTATAAATTTATTCAACTCAGTGAGTTACCTCAACTAATTCAACAATAATTTTTCATCAAAAACACTAATAATATTATCAATTGGACCAAAATGGCACAAAATGATAAATTCTAGAGTAAACTATTAATATGTCTTAATAGTTCAACTTAATTCTTTTCAAGTCCTAGCAAAATCATCGCTAAAAATTTACAATTAGTGACTTTTTTTATTACGATTTTTATAAATTGTCACTAAAACTTACAAATTAGTGACTTTTTTGTGACGAATTTTTCAAACTATTGCTGAAAGTTAAAAATTAATATTTCTTGTGATGATTTTTTTAAAACTTATAATTAGTGACATTTTTATGACAAAATTTTCAAATTGGGTCAGATAATTAACAATTACTGACTTTTTTTAATAGTGTTTGATGAAAAATGTCATTAATTATCATATGACATATTTGACAATAAGTCCACTTATTAGGACTTATACGTAAATTCAAGTCAAAATTGAGATAACTGAAAATATAGGAATTAAAATGACATAAGAAACAAAGCATAGAAACCATCAATATAATTTGTCCATTCAGATATCAACTACCGAACTGAGTTTTCATTTGATAATCATGTGAATAATTATTTTGTTGCTACTGTTAGTTCGGTCTTCAATATTTGAACGAACAAAACAATGTGAATTCAAAAAAGTAAAAAATAAAAAATAAATAAAAGACAGTGTTCAAATAAAAACACCTGCAAAACATGTGCATTACATGATCGAACCAAGAGATAAGGTGTGTTAATGGAAATCAAATTTATATGAACCTAACGGTATGCCTTTACTTCCTTATGTTACCATCCTATAGGAGAGGGAAATTTGTGTTGAACAATGGGTCGAGCTGTGCCAACACAGAATGTGGTGTTGGGCCAAGTGAGGAGAGCCTGGGACGCATCATTGGGCCGGATTGGATCCGCATTGAATACGATGCTGGTGCAAGACTGAGGGTATTCGAGATGCGTTTGACCAAGCTGGAACCACACGTAATATGGTGTGGGTCCAGCTAGACCCACACAGAATATGGTGTCAGCCAAACCTGGCTGAGCTGGCTCAGTCATCAGACAGAACTGCCCTAGTATTGAGGTCCAAGGTAGTGGAGTCACGTGATGACCGAACTGTAGATTGTTCGGGGCTACTATTACTGAGGCAGGCGGTCCATGGAATCGTGATTTGTAGCCGAGATGTCACATAGTACACCAACCTTCAGTCAATGTCAGGCAATTTGGGCTTTGGCTCTACTTTTGATAGACCGGTCTGATTTAGCTCGGCATAAAGGGGGTCGATGTAATGCTAGTGGTTCACAAGTAATAGCCCGGTCGGGTATTCCGCGTGGACCAATAAAGAATAGAGAGAAATCCCTTCCTAGTATGCATCAATACCGTTTGGCGGTGTGACAAACACTGTTTGGAGATTTTGGTCTTTACATGTGTAAGAAGTGTACAGGGGAACATAGCCGCCTGTCCAGAGAAGGACAACAGAGGTAGTGCACCCATAATCTCTGAGGCTACATGGCCAGCCTTGAAAAGGAGAAGCATGCAGACAGTAAAGGCAAGCAATTTGGTATAACTCTCTCTCTCTCTTTACAATGCTCTCTGTCTTCTTTCTTCTCTCCCAATAAGTTAACTTCATCGTCGAAGGGGTTTTTCGACAAACCCACCTATCAAGTAGCTCACCTTTGTTTTGTTCACAGTGCGACGAAATTCTAACAAAGTGAGACAAGCTTGGAAACAAGGAGGTACTGAGCGAGGCGAATATTTGTCTCCCGTACACTGTATATACCACACAATTGTGGTTGAATTATGGTAGCATTTGGTTTAATGAATTGATCATTTAATTGCCAACAGAATTAGTACTAGTTTTACTCATGATCGTCCCTAAGCTTATTTTCTCGTTCATTGATCATACATATTCAAATAAGTTACACACATATATATTTAAACTTGCAATCCACTCATCATCACTTAGTTTGAAGATGTGAGTGTATTGTTTGCTTTATTTATGCCTGAGAGGGTAATTTTTGTGAAAATTGGGCCGAGCTGGGAGATGGTCATTATGGCCCACAATATAAAGGGCTGAGTAAAAAGGCCGCAAAGTTACTCCGGCCCAATAGAGGTACAAAATTACTCCGGCCCGAGATAAATGTAATGTTACTCCAGTCCGGAAGCGACTTGGAGTTAGGCCGGTCTTAGAGATAGTCCGGTCATGATGTATTATGGTTAGAACGGACAGAACCTTGCTACTCGGTAGATCGGTCTAAACACACCATGGTTTGTACGTGAAAGAACCGAGATAATGAGGAGTAAAAGGAAGAACCGAACTAACGATAGTTCAGCCTACTCTGCGGCTCAGCATAGCCATGATTACTTCGGTCATGTTGGGGTTCGGCCATGGTAAAAACCATCTCACTTGGTTTAAGCAGTGAGGGGGGTGTTAAAGGATAAGCATTATCTTTCAGGAGTATAAATCCTAGGAGGACTCTGCATGGAGGAGTAGAAGTCCTACTAGGATTATGACACACGAAACCTATAAAAGCTCACAAACATCACCTTTGGAGAGGTAACACACAACTTTGTTTTCTAAATACACAGAGCTTTTGTCTATTTGTCAAGTTTACTGACTTAGGCATCGGAGAGGTTTCCGGCACACACCCGCCGGCTAGCTCACGTTTGTGTTTTCAGGTGATAAAGCGACGACGTACGGAGGAGAGTAGACTTGGTCAACAGGATTATACGAGAAGGTTTATTTCTTTCCCGTACAATTGGCGCCGTCTGTGG